TTCTCAGATATTCACGCCGGTAAACGTCGTTAATACTGTTTATTATAAACAGTACATTTACTTAAATATTTGTATCTATAAAAAGAACGTATAAACATAAAAAATGCCATTATATATATATATATATATATATATATATATATATATATATATATATATATAACAGCAAACCCTGAAGAGTGAATTTGTTATCTCGACGTGCTCACGAAACAACGTAGTAGGAATGACTGACAGCTAAGTGATAAACTTTTCAAATTATATATATATATATATATATATATATATATATATATATATATATATGTGTGTGTATGTGTTCATGTGTGTGTGTATAATTATATTAAATAATAGTTTAGCAGATTATTATATTTAGAGAATTGTATTCCTGCACTTACTTACTCCGTTTGACCTTTGAGGTCAGATACAGGACAAAACAAAGAAAGTTGATTTTGATTGACTGAACTACCGTGACAGTGATAGATAGAGAAAGGTTTTTTCGGTCGGGCAGTCGAGTCTAAACCCTTATACAATGTAGACGTGTTTCCTTCGTGTCCGGAAGCGTCTTCTCAGTGGGGTGAGGGAGCGACCCCACTGGATATTTAGAGATGTATACGTTGAAGTAAATAACAGTTATTTTTAAAATTCTCTTTGTTGATGTCTTTTTTTTTATCCTCGAATTAAAACAACTAGCGATCACCGGCTATGGAAGAAGGCAACGTTATTATTTGAATTGACGCCGAGGGGATATGCAACAATTATATATATATATTTCTTTTTACAGATTGACCTTTGCATAAATTACCTCTTTCGCAGCGAGTCAAAGAGTCGCTTAAAAACACGAGGTATCTAAAAAAAAAAAAGAATGATGATAAAACGCCCCCCCACCCAAAAAATATAGAAAAGAAAAGAAAGAAAACGTAACAACACATGTAGTGGAAAATCCTAACACGAAGGTGTATCTTTAATATCCGAAAGAGTCGGTTTAAAGACTTTTCATTACGCCATCTCATCTCTTTTCGCGCGTTCTCACCGATGACTATGATGCCAAGGGGAGTGTCGGCAGGTGTATGTGTTTTATCACCTGGCGGAAATGCGTTAGCAGTCGAAGTGAAGCGGGTATTTAGTGTTGTTGATGTAGATAAAGGGAATTGTGACTTGCAACAGCAGGGGCTTGCATGTTGGCATCAAATAAAGACGAAGGAATAACAATTGTAGTAGTAGTAGTAGTAGTAGAAGAAGAAGAAGAAGAAGAAGAAGAGGAAGAAGGAAAAGAAGCAGAAGAAGAAGAAGGACGAAGAAAAAGAGGAGAAATAACAAAAAGAGGACGAAGAAAAAAGAGAAGGAAGAAGAGGAAGAAGAAGAAGGAGGCAAAGAAAAAGGAGGAGAAATGATATGCAGAAGGGGTGAAGAATAAGAAGCAGGAGAAATAATAAGAGAAGGAGGAGGAAGAACGAAGAAAAGGGAGAGAAATAATAATAATAATAATAACAATAAGAAGAAGAAGAAGAAGAAGAAGAAAGAAGGAAAAGAGGCAGAAGAAGAAGGGCGAAGAAAAAGAGGAGAAATAACAAGAAGAGGATGAAGAAAAAAGAGAACGAAGAAGAAGAAGAGAAAGAAAATGGAGGAGAAATGATATGAAGAAGGGGTCAAGAATAAGAAGTTAAGAAATAAGAGGAGGAAGAGAAAGAACGAAGAAAAGGGAGAGAAATAATAATAATAATAATAATAATAATAATAAGAAGAAGAAGAAGAAGAAGACGGAGAAGAAGAAGAAGAAGAAGAAGAAGACGGAGAAGAAGAAGAAGAAGAAGGAGAAGAAGAAGAAAGAGGTGGAGAAAAGAGGAAAAAGAAAGACGAAGAAAAAGAGTTGAAATAACAAGAAGAGGATGAAGAAAAAAGTGAAAACAAAGAAGAAGAAGAGGTAGAAAAAAAGAAGAAGAAGAAGAAGAAGAAAAGAGGAGAAATAATAAGAAGGTAGTGAAGGAGTAATAGAAGAGGAGAAATAATAAATGAAGGATGAAAAAGGAAGAAAAAGAGGAGAAGAAATAAGAAGAGGATGAAGAAGAAAAAGGGGGGACAGAAGAAAAAAAAAGAAGGAAAAGGGCGGAGAAGAAAAAAAGGATAAATAAGAAGAAGAGGATGAAAAAGAAGAAAAGGAGAAAAGAAGATGGCGAAGAAAAAGAGGAGAAATAAGAAGAAGAAGAAGAAGAAGAAGAAGAAGAAGAAGAAGAAGAAAAAAAGAAAGAAGAAAAAGAGGAAGAAGAAAAAAGGATGACGAGAAGGAGGAGAAATAATAACATTAATAATAAGAGGGTGAAGACGTAGAGGAGAAAGAAGAGGAGGAAGAAGAAATGATGAAGAAAATGAGAGGATAGAAAGAAAAGAACCCGAATGGCCGTAAAGAAAATCCCCCACTACAAACTGATCGGAAGAACATAGAAGAAAAAAGAGGAAAAGATAGAAGTAGAGCGAGGAAAGAGAAGAAGAAGAAGAAGAAGAAGAAGAAGAAGAAGAAGAAGAAGAAGAAGAAGAAGAAGAAGGTGACAGTGGTGGCCTCGTGGGTGTACATGTCGGGCTGAAGGAAGCTCCATTTAGGGCATGCAAAGTTTGATCAGATAAAATATAATGGTGATAACGACACTCAGGGACAATGTGACATGTGGGTCTCGTACGGAGTGTGTGTTAGTGAGGGACGGGAGTAAAATGGGGGTTGCGTGAAAGTGTCAGGGTGGGATGGGGGCCAGAAGAACGCTTTTAAGATAGTTCACACATATTTGATAAAATACCCCGGATGTTCGAGATGTCTGATGGTACAACACGCGAAAAGAGAGTTGCAGAAATAGAAAGGGGGAAATTCAGAATTTCGAAGTTAAGCAAAGAAGACTGATAAGCAAGATCGAACGAGTCCCTTGCAATGTGTCGATTTATTTTCAGTAAAGTTACTGTCAATAATTATTGACCTATTATTACATTTTGCTACTTTATATGTCGTATTTCTTCAGGGCGTCGACGATCATGGCTCTCCACAATTTCCTATCCTTTGTAGCTGTTTGTCCCCTTACGATCTTTGCTAATTATTTTTCTGTCATCGATTTACAGAATCTTGTTAGGTAGGTTAGACCACTGGATGCTTCATGTATCTTTTCCAAATTTTCTTTCCGAATTATGTGTCCAAGACATATTAACTGTGACTTTCTAACCCCAAGTAAACTCTCTTTCCTGTCCGTTAAAACTTTCTAGTTGCTCGCATTTTCTGTAGAATAACATATCTGATGCCTCAAGTCTCCTCTTCATCGGGGTTTCTGATTGCTTGATTCGTTTTTTTACGGTTTATCAACCCTTTGCATGTTATTTAAAGCCAGAAAATATTTTTAGATTTTTTTCTTGGGGTATATTAATGTTTTAGTGATACAAGTATGGATAATTAACCCTGTTGTGACCTAGGGAAGGCTACTGAATAGAAAAATCAAACGAAGGTTGGTAATGACCGATAATACTTAGGACAAGAACACCACATATAAGATTCGCCAGCGGCGCGTAGAAGAAGTAGTCAACTGCTAGAAATGAGTCAAGTGAATTCCACAATGAATCTCCAACTGCAGGATATCTACCAACCGCCCCACGTGATCAGATGTGGCACAAGGACGAATTTAATGTGAGGTATTCGAGCCCGTAGGCTCGGCCAAAAGTTCCCCGTATAAAACGGGGTCGAGTAGCTGTTTCCCGAGACGAGACCCCGTTCTTCGACATAGCCTCGTCTGGGGATCCTCTCTGCCCGGAGGCAGTGATTTTGAACTGCACAGGTGAATACGAATCTCCATCTGCAGGATATCTACCTACCGACCCCATGCGGTCAGATGTGGCACAAGGCTGAATTTAATGTGGGAAAAACTTTCAAAAAATAATATCCGATATGCATTTCGCCTCTATGGCTTCATCAGATGGATAATCATGATAAAATAATTATTTTTAAAGTCACTCATTTTTTTTTCTCTTTTAGCTTGGGAAAAATAATATAAGATTTAACTATTCTACCCCAACACAAATGTATACACTCACAACACACTTTTCGTTATCCATCTGATGAAGCCATTAGGGGTGAAATGCATTATGGGATATTATTTTTGAGACATATTTTCATGAACCGTTTTTCCACAAGTCAGTAATTTATAACATCCTAGATTACAGCAACTGGTATTCTCAAGTGGTCACCCATCTTGATGATCATATCGAATTGGTGTTTCAACGTGGTATGGCCGTAAGCCTGATGAGATTGTCCAGCATTCAGAGGACTGACAGGAAATAGCAGCTCAGCACTCTTTGTTTCTAACTAAACTTTCCTGTTTATTAATACTTTGTTTAGGATTTGGAAGGCATCTTTCGTTATTTCAGAGCGTCTTCACTTACAGCCACATACCGTTAAATCACCTGTCCCCGTACAACCACCGAAGTTAAGCAACGTCGAATCTGCTCAGTACCTAGATGGGTCAACCTTTAGGAACAGCACACTCTGTAAGCTTGGATGTGCTGGTGGCGTAAAGGATTACGGCTCGGGATTGTTAATCAGAAAAGTGAGTTCGAATTCCTGTTGGGTTCGTTGTATTCACTCCCGCCTAAATACCGTTGGTAAAGGCATGAACCCACCTCTTACTTGTCACTAAAATTATTATTATCTAAAAAAAAGTTGCTTGCAAAATATTTAGATTTTTGATATTAAATAGCCCACGGAGGTGTTGATATGTCGCTAAACAAAAACAACCAGCCAAAATCTAACTCGAAGAGAAAATAATGACATGATCAAGATGTTGATGTTCCACAGTACTTTGAACAAAAGGTTAGGAAGGAAACCTCCATCAACACTGGAAAGGACAGCAACAGATGCTGGGATTGAGAAGAGAAAATAATGACATAATCAAGATGTTGACGTTCCACATCACTTCAAATAAAAGGTTATGAAGGAAACCCCCATCAATATTTGAAAGAGCTATAACACCTACTGGACTTGAGAAACCTATTTTCATGAAAAAATATATTTTAATAAATATATATTATAAATTCCAACCGAAAGCAGTACTGGCTGCTCGGTCAATGAATACCAAATGTTTCCTTATAAGGAAACGGCTATTAACATAACCGTAAACAAATGTGGTCCTCAATTAAATATAAGCGTTTATAATTTGTTATAGGTATATAGATTGTTTACATCCTCTGTTATATATTTTTTCAAACCAAATGTTGCCAATTCAAGCCACAACAGCCACTTAAGGTAGAGTTATATGTCTAAAATGGTAATGACGAATGAGGTGACGTAAGTGAAAAAGAACGGGGTTGATAGTGGAGATGATAAACATGAGGGGGTGATTAGCGACTGACCCTTGAAAAAAAACAAGAATATATTGTTCGGGGAAGTACCTACGCGGGACTTCTACGTGTGGAACTCAAGGGAAATGAGTGTGATTCGGCTCCATGGTAATATCCTGGTGTATCCTAGTTGATTTGCTTTGTTTTATTTTACGGCATATCGATCTCAATGGGTTATTTAATACCAGCAAAATATTTATTCCTAGTAATATGTTTTTTTTTTTCCAAAGATTTACTGCTGATAATAATTTTTCAAAAAATGCATTGCTGGTATTTAAACCTATTTTTAGACTTTCATAGCGTTTGTCTCTTTTTGGGGTGTTAAATATTTGCCCATAGCTGGGACCCAGGCAGGTCCTACCAGACTCTGTCAGGAGGAACCTGGGAACACCAGCCATTAAGAGGTGGTTCCATGCTCCTCAAAACCTCCTGATCAAAGGTGTTGCTGTCGGGCGTAGTCTTTTGTCTTACCCAGGACGCGGACGTAGTTTATCGTCTTACCCAGGACGCGGACTTAGTTTATCGTTTTACACAGGATGCGGGCGTAGTTTATCGTCTTACCCAGGACACGGACGTAGTTTATCGTCATACCCAGGACGCGAGCATAGTTTATCGTCATACCCAGGACGCGAGCATAGTTTATCGTCTTACTCAGGATGCGGACGTAGTTTATCGTCATACCCAGGACATGGGCGTAGTTTATCGTCTTACCCAGGACGCGAACATAGTTTGTCGTCTTACTCAGGATGCGGACGTAGTTTATCGTCATACCCAGGACGGAGGTGTATCCTAGAAAACATATCAATAATAATAATGATAAAGCCGGAGAATGCTTGTGACTGGTTTTGTATGAGTCAAACATTCTTCCACAAGCAGGCATCTGTTAATTTTTCGTCAATGGTAATTTAATTAAAGTCTTTCTTTTCATCCAATTAACCTCACTTCTTAATTTGTCAATTGGCACGGGCGTGTTTTTTATTTTTTTCATTTTATTTTTTTTATATTTACTCTGTGAGTCATTTTGTAAGTATCCATATGGACGTTTTAAATACTCTAGCTTGTTAAAAAGAAAAAGAAAAGAAAAGAAGAGTTCCCTCCCTTCCCAAATCAAAGATAATAAGCAATTGTGCTTTCGTAATTAAGAAAAAAGAAAATGTCAACGCTACAGGGTCATTTATAAATGTATTTCAATTGTACATGCCATAGTACACAGACTTTTCCTTTTAAGACGATACTACCATTAAAGTTCCTTCACCACCCTAAGGGCACTGCCAAATTCTTTAAGATCAGTTCGTTCCCGCTTCTGCAAGACCCCGCGAGCAAAGATCAAGACGGCCGCCATCTTTAGGATCTGTGGCTTAGAAAATTAAAAATAAAGATGAAAGAGAAGCACACACACAGACATATAAGCACGCACACGCATACACACACACACACACACATATATATATATAGCGACAGAGAGAGAGAGAGAGAGAGAGAGAGAGAGTGAGGATGAGATAGAAAGAAAAGTATAAAAATGAACGAAAGTAAAAATGAAGAGGAAAGTCAACAAATTAGAATTGAAGAGAGAAAGAGAGAGAGATAGAGAGAGAGGGAGAGAGTGAGTGAAAGTGTTAAAGGAAAAGAGAAAAGAAAGGAGAAGGAGAACAAAACTAGAGAAAGAGAGACAAAATGGAACAAGAGAAATAGCTATTGTGTAGAACTGTGGTTCGGAATGAATAGAAGAATCAGAGAAAGATTAAAGACTGTGGAAGGAAGGAAGGAAGGAAGGAAGGAAGGAAGGAAGGAAGGAAGGAAGGAAGGGATTATTCAAAAGAGAAAGAAAGAAAGAAGAAAAGTACGAGAGGACAGGATATCATGAAAGAAAGAAAGAAAGAAAGAAAGAAAGAAAGAAAGAAAGAAAGAAAGAAAGAAAGGTATGACTGGAGATCATGAAAGAAAGAAAGAAAGAAAGAAAGAAAGAAAGAAAGAAAGAAAGAAAGAAATGTAGGACAGGATATCATGAAAGAAAGTAAGAAAGAAAGAAAGGCATGACTGGAGATCATGAAAGAAAGAAAGAAAGAAAGAAAGAAAGAAAGAAAGAAAGAAAGAAAGAAAGAAAAGAAATGTAGGACAGGATATCATGAAAGAAAGAAAGTAAGAAAGAAAGAAAGGCATGACTGGAGATCATGAAAGAAAGAAAGAAAGAAAGAAAGAAAGAAAGAAAGAAAGAAAGAAAGAAAGAAAGAAAGAAAAGAAATGTGATGATCCAAAAAAGAAAGAAAGAAAGAAAGAAAGGTAAGAAATATGATGATTTAAAAAAGAAAGAAAGAAAGAAAGAAAGAAAGAAAGAAAGAAAGAAAGAATAAAAGGAAGAAAGAAAGGAAGAAAGAACGAAAGATAGGTAGGTAGGTAAGTAGGTAAGTAGGTTGGTAGGTCTGGAGAACATGAAAGAAAGAAAGAAAGAAAGAAAGAAAGAAAGAAAGAAAGAACAAACAAACAAACAAACAAACAAACAAACAAACAAACAAACAAACAAACAAACAAACAAACAAACAAACAAAACATAGAATAGTTGGTGATTGAAAAAGGAAAATTGTTTGGTTTGGTTTGTTTTACAGCTTAATAACCCATTGAGTTATTTAATGCCGAAAATTAATGGGTTTTTTTTATATATATAAAGGCTTCTATTTAAACAGTCATCTTGTTTCAATAGTCAGACTGCTGTTAGTTAATTTTTAATTATATTTTTGAAATAAGTTTCATTTCTCTTAGAAACTGGAATAATTCAAGTGGATCATTATTTTGAAAAAAATTGTTGTTTGCTCGTATTTTAAGTCGATTGAATTAAAATTGCTGCACTTTGTCAGTATGTGTTTTATGGCGAATGGCTCTTGACATGCTACGCATACCGGAAGTTCTTCCTCTTTTAGGATATACGAAAGGAATTATGGTAGTATGTCCAAATAGAAGTCTGGACATAATCACTTCTTCTCCGAGTTTCGGGTTTCCGGTGCCATTCACCGATGTCCGTTATAATTTTGTACATTTTCCTGTGTGGTCAGGAGTTTGAAGAAAAAAAGAAATACCGGGTTGGTCATGTCTATGATTTAAAAAGAAAGAAAGAAAGAAAGAAAGAAAGAAAGAAAGAAAGTTAGATCATCTGTTTACACAAACTGATTAGGTAGGTTATTCGTTGTTCCTCTCTGACCCATTTGTCTTGTGTGTTTCAAATTCACCAAGCCTATTTTTCTCGGCATGTGTCCCAGAAAATTCAAGTGTCTCTTCCTGATTCGAAGTAGAAGCGAATTTAAAAAAATAAAATCATTTCACCCCAAGCAAGGCAATAAAGCCACTAAGACATAAGGGATTACTGAGTGTGAAAGAATAAGAAAACGAAAAAAAAAATTTTAAAGAGCAAAAAAAAAAAAGAAAAAAAAAGAACGATGAAGACAGTAGACAACGATTGACATTGCATCTGAATTTTTGCATATCAAAGTTGGTCGGTAAGCAAGAAGAGTTCCACAGACGAGAAGTGCGAGAAAAGAAACTTTACCTAGAACTTACGGTTGCATTTAGCCATTCCAAGTGTAAAATGATGAGTCCTTGTTGACAATCATGAGGATTATAGGATGCCCTGTGGAGTAATGGATAGCGGGTCGGATTGAGGACTCGAAGAGCCGAGTTCAAATCCCCGGCGAGTTACTTACGTGCTGGAAGTATAGCTGGTTTCATACCCCCCCCATCTAGGGTATTAACTCTAGGGAAACATATGAGCCCAGCTATTCTTCCTCAGCTAGGGAAAATAGAAGAACAGACTGGTTCTTAAAGCCTTGATTGGTGACTAGTTTAGGAGAATGAGAACCAGCCTGATTGATTGAATTGTGTTTTTTAACGTCATATTAACACCTTATGTGTCATTTAATGCTGAATTCTATTTTTCTTGAGAGTTTAGACGTAATACAGATATATGTTATTCTGCTTTCACAATTGAATACATGGTAGATAATACTCAGATTTTTTGCATATACATATTTGTGTGGACATAATTAGAAGACGCGGTGACATGCGTGTTTTATGTTTTCGTTCTATTTTGGAATACGGTTTGGAATTTCTTTAAGAAATTGTAAGATATTATATGGATTAATATTCTGCAAGAGTTCTTTCCTGTTGGTGGTTTGATTTTGTTTGGCGGCATATCAACATCTCTATGGGTTATTTAATGCCGGAATCTAAATATTTTGAACACAGTTTTATGGCTTCAATTTCAGATAAAATATATTTTGGTCATTTTACCATATAATGTATTGTTGGTAATTCAACTATAAATATGTATCGTTAGTAATTTTTAATATAATAATGTACTGCTGGTATTTTTACTATAAAAATGTTTTGTTATAATTTCATAGTGTTTGCGAGTTCTCTATTTGCCCATAGCTGGGACCCTGACAGGTGCTACTACCCTAACATCAGATAGTGTTGGGCCCCATCAGGCTATACTGATACACCACTGCTACTGCAGTTAAAGTACACGGGGTTCTCCTGCAACCCTAATGGGTTATGTAATTCGTGATTAGTCCTTTCTTCTCTCTTTCTGTTACTACTTTTTTCCTGAATGGGGTTTCTTTCCGCGTCTAGTGAGGGAGGTGGAAAATAGATATTAGGTTGGTGCAAAAATAATGACGTAGTAATGTCGTTTTTTGACGTTAAAAAGACATCAAAAACGACATTATTACGTCATTATTTTTGCACCAACCTAATAAAAGAAAAGGGGATAAAAGATAGGTCAACCTGTTGAAAATTATGAAACATAAAAAAAAAAAAACTAGTGATCAACAAAAAATATGGGGTTTGGAGAAAGAAAAATAGCGAAGAAGAAATTGGAGGTGGAGTAAGAGGTAGAAAATAGTGAGAGGGGAAGAGGTAGAAAATAGTGAGAGGAGGAGAGGTAGAAAATAGTGAGAGAGGAAGAGGTAGAAGAGAGGGAAGAGGTAGAAAATAGTGAGAGGGGAAGAGGTAGAAAATAGTGAGAGGGAAGAGAAAATAGTGAGAGGGGAAAGGTAGAAAATGAGAGAGGAAGAGGTAGCAAATAGTGAGAGAGGAAGAGGTAGAAAATAGTGAGAGGGGAAGAGGTAGAAAATAGTGAGAGAGGAAGAGGAAAAAAAAATAGTGAGAGAGGGAAGAGGTAGAAAAGAGGAGAGAGGGGAAGAGAAAAATAGTGAGAGGGAAGAGGTAGAAAATAGTGAGAGAGGAAGAGGAGAAAAAAGGAGAGGGGAAGAGGTAGAAAATAGTGAGAGGGGAAGAGGTAGAAAAAGTGAGAGAAGGAAAAGGTGAGAAAATAGTGAGAGGGGAAGAGGTAGAAAATAGTGAGAGGGGAAGAGGTAGAAAAACAGGAGAGAGGGAAAATAGTGAGAGGGGAAGAGGTAGAAAATAGTGAGAGGGGAAAGGAGAAAATAGAGAAAGGGGAAGAGGTAGAAAGGGGAGAGGGGGAAAGAGGGAGAAAATAGGAGAGAGGAAGAGGTAGAAAAAAAAAGAGAGGGGAAGAGGTAGAAAATAGGAGAGAGGAAGAGGAAAAAAGTGAGAGAGGAAGAGGTAGAAAATAGTGAGAGAGGAAGAGGTAGAAAATAGTGAGAGAGGAAGAGGTAGAAAATAGTGAGAGGGGAAGAGGTAGAAAATAGTGAGAGGGGAAGAGGTAGAAAATAGTGAGAGAGGAAGAGGTAGAAAATAGTGAGAGGGGAAGAGGTAGAAAATAGTGAGAGGGGAAGAGGTAGAAAATAGTGAGAGAGGAAGGGGAAGAGAGGTCGAAAAGCGAACTAGGGGATAAACGAAGCTATATAGATAGAAAGAAAGAAAAAGACATCTAAGAGAGAGAGAGAGAGAGAGAGAGAGAGAGAGAGTTGGGGAAGAAAAGGGAAGAGATCAGAAAAGGCGGAGCGAGAAGGAGGAAGAAAAAAAAAGAAATATGTATAGTATAGTATCGCCCATGCTTAGAATATGGTCTATAATTCCTGCTATTTATCTAGAACTTCTTGATAAAAGGCAAAGAATCAGCAATATTATTAATCCTGATCTGGCATCTCCGTTTCTTTCCCACATACATTTCAATCGTTTTTCCTTTGCTTTCATGGTAATTGTTCGAATGTGCTTTTCGCTATGATACCTAGACACTCTTAATTTAAGCGCAGTAATTAGACTGGCAACGAGGTCTCACCAATTGAGCTGGTTAGATTTAACAGTAAATTCTATGCTAATAGTTGCTTTTCACGCACTTCCTGCTTGTAAAACTCCCTTCCGGCTCCATCATTTCCAGCCTGCTTTAATTTGCAAAAAAATTAAATGCAATGTCAATCGTTATCTACTGTCCTCCTAATTACTCTTCTATTTTTTCCGCTCCCTAGCAGTTGTTCCTGTTTCTACCTCTTCTACGCCCAGTAGCCGATGTTATCTCAGTGGCTTTATTGCCTTGCTTAGAGTGAACTCTATTAAAAAAAGAAAAAAGAAAGAAGTACAACAGGAAAGTGATTGGCCAGACGAAATTAAATAAGGATGCTATATATCGTAGCTATGAACACAAATAGGTTTGTCCCAATCCTCATAAATACGTTGGACACTATTGTAAGTGGAAGTAATATGCTGTCTAAGTCGTCCACCATTAGCAGTGGTTTACCTATTTCACGCCGCTGGCGAGTATTGTATTTCGTTGATGTTATAAAGATTACCATTTCATTTCCAGACTCCGTTTTGGTTATTCCTCATTCAGTAACCTTTTCTGGGTATCAACAAAGACAAAACGAAATAAGAAAATACAGGGTGACTCAAAAAAACGGGAATTTTTGAAGTGCGTATTGCCAGACATGAGCAAGTGGCAACACTGCAAGACAGTGACCTTGAGCAATTAACCATTTCGCCATTTAGAATTCAAGATGAAATTCACAGTATCCCACCTGAGATGTTGCAGCAGTCAATGAGGAATCTCAACAGCAGATTTCAAGAATGCATTCGTACAGGAGGACGCCATCTACAGGACGTAACTTTTAAAAAAATGATAATTCCATCATTGTTTCTTAAATGGCATGATTTAAGGTTTCAATTACTATGAATAAAATATTTTTTTTCCATTACTCTTGGTTTTATTGGATTGTTAAAAAGTTCCCGTT